ATATGTTGTTCCATGTGGGCTTTGTTGCTTCTGAGCTAGATGGCCGCTTGTTTACCTTCAAGCTTTTAAGACCCCAGACGCTATATCTTTTGATAGCCGTCTGCCCTCATAGTTTTGCTGAGACAGCTGAATTGATCCTCATCAGTCTTCCTTTGCAGGTGACTGATCTCTTTTCTCCAGCTACCTTCAGGATCCTCCTTTTCCTTGAAAACGCATAGATTGACTCTGATATGGCATGATGTTTTATTTGGGGATCCATCATAGTTGGAGTTCTTTGTGGCTTCTTGAATAGTTATTTTTTCCTCATCTGTGATGTTAGGGAAATTTTCTTCTAGGATTTCTCATACTATTTTCTCTGTAGATTTTGTTTGTTTGTTTGTTTCTTCTTGTTAGCAGATCCTGATGAGACACGGTGGTTGCTCTCGATGGTGTCCCACATGATCCTCAGGCTTTACTCTGATTCTTTTTGGCCATTGGTTTTGATTATATCTCGTATTGATTGTAATCAGAGTGATTGTGTTCAAGCTCACTGATTTGATTTTCCCCTTCTTCAATTCTATTCTCCAAGTCGTTTACTATGTCGCCTAAGTCTGATATCTCATTATTTGTCTTTTGGGATTCCTTTTGGTTTAAAGATTTTAGTTTTTCAATTTCTTCCATTGTTCTCTTGAGTGCTCCCTAGAGCTCTTGATAGAACCTGAACCTGATTCTTGTGTATCTGTTAGTTTCATAGCCCACTTTTCAGAGCACACCATTGTGTTTGGTTGACTTGTGGTTATTTGTGTTTGTTTTTCTTGATTGTTTTGGCTTTCTGTGGTTGACCTGTTTTCCAGCGTGTGGCAGAGCTATTAGTAGTGCGTGAGCTGCTGGGTCAGGTAGAGGTGGCTAGCTCTGTTTCATGATATGGCTGAGGTCTAAGAGAAGCTGGAAAATATACAGTGGTGAAATGGAGAAAAAAAGGATGAGAGATAGGTCAGTGGAGAAGATAGGGGGAAGTAAGGGAGAGGATTATTTAAAGGTAATGATTCTAATCAAAAGTCGCTGTCTGGAAAGGGCAAAACATTTGTATCAATAATGGGAAAATGTGCTTTAAGAGGCGTAATCAGAAATAATAAGTCCCATTGCAATATATTTCATGAGGCAAGGAGAGAGCAGAAAGAGATAATGGGTGAAGTTGCAGACAGGGGTGAAAGAGACAAAAGCCCTGCATGTGGCTGCTAACTTATGTTGCTCTGCCCACATGAATGTGGGTGTGTCGGTGTTCTCAGAGAGGGTGGGAGCCCTGGTTTGTGTGGCTGTATCAGAGCTAAAGAACTGTCTATTTTTTGGCAGGGGCGGGGGGGAACAGGTCCTCTCAGGAGGGTGGGCACTGGAAAAAGAAGTCAGAGATATATCTAAAATATTATGAGAGTATTGTCATAGAACAAAAATACTAACACCAAAGAAAATATAAAGCAGAAGCTAAAACCAACGTGGGGGTGGGAAACCTGCTCTTTGATTGTTATTTTATGAACATATATGCTGTGTAAGAGAGATAGGGCAAGAAGGGTTGGGAAGGGCACTGGGGACCAAAGCTGGGTACAAAGAGGAAGTGAGAGAGAAAAAGGGTGGTGCGGAGGCAGAAACATATGCTTGAGTATTGCCTATGTCTGTGACGAGTTGTCCGTACAGAGCTATCTCCCAGAGGCCGACGAGGTAAGAGGTTTGGGTACTTGGGTTGCTTCGGGGGGGGGGCAGACAAAACGGGCTGTGCTGGGGAGCGTGTTTCCCAGAAGCGACTTGTGCCCTGATACAGGGTAGACAGGAGTCTGCCAGCAGGTGTTGCTACTCTTCCATTTCAAGAGAATTGGTTGACTTAGCTTTGTTACAAGCCTCACTTCCGGGAAGGGCAGGCTATCCCTCACAGTGCCCCTTCTCTGGGAACTGCTGAAGAGATATTCCTATACTGGTTATCTGGCGGTCATCCTGTCCTGTCCTCTGCGTCTTTGGAATCGAGGTTTGCCCCTTTCATTTTGTCATTCATTGTTGTGTTTTTTGTTTGTTCCTTGTTTTTGTTTTATATGATTTCCTAAATACAAAATCCAGGTTAGCTAAATCTATAGAGACCACAACGACTGGATGAATAATTACCTAGGGGCATAGTAAGGGGGGTTGGGGAGAAATAGCAAGCTAACAACAATGAGTACAGAAAGAAGAAAATGTTCTAAAATTGATTGTGGTGATGACTGTACAACTCTTCTTAATGTGATTAAACCATGAAATTATAGGATATGTGAATTATGCCATATCAAATGCCAATAAAACCAGCAGAAAAGAAAAAACAAGTCTGGTATTCTTATAAAATACAGTGTTGTGACCACTCCAGGTTTGGATATTTAACTTTTGGGCTTCCTGATGGTTAGGAATTATGCCAACTGGTCAATCCTTGGTAAAGGTAGGGATGGAGCCTAACCTATCAGTAGGAGTCACATCCCGATCACGCCTCCTATTGCGACCCATGAAAATCCCAGAAGCCTCCTATTAGCAAGGATATGAAAAAATGGGAGGTCCTAAAACAGTAGTGAAAGAGCCCTGGTAGCACTGTCAGGTAAGTTTTGGACTGCTAGCCACAAGGTTGGTGGTTCAAAGCCACCAGTTGCTCTTCAAGAGAAAGAGGAGACTGCCTGCTCCCATGACGATTTATAGCCCTGGAAGCCCCATGCAGGGCTGCTCTGAGTTGGAATTGACTTGATGGCAGTGGGTTAGGTTTGGTTAGGTAATGCAGTATTAATATTGCTGCAGGTTTCTTTTCCCATTGAGTCCACTGCATTATGTAGAATAAACTACTTACAATGACATATAGAGACGGATAACTCAGAATATTTATTAAATGGATGAGTTACAAGATGGCTACTAATGGATAAACTTATTTTTTTTCCACTCATAGTGAAACATGAAGCTTTTAAATGTATAGCGTTTACATTCAAATTTCATTTATGTATATATACCTGCCCCATTAAGATTATATCATAGCATGTGAAGCACTGGTGAGGTCAATGTCACCAGAGATTTTCAGTTGGGTGATTTCATGGAGATTTCTCATCCGATGATTGTACTGCAGCAAGTGAGCATCGTTGACGGCAACCTTGAAGTGGCCCCCTTCAGCCAGTACTTGGATCTGCAATGGCACATACCCAGAGCTGTTAGAGATGCCTGCTCATGTCAAAGCCAACACTTCACACAAGAACTTGACAGAAAAAAAAAGACTCTATATTAATTAAAAATGTCAATTAAAGAAGAGAAATGACAAAATTACTAGACGGCATCACACAGGGGAAGGCAGAAAGGAAAGGATGACTAAGCGGTCCACATGCATGCCGTTGAATTGTACATATGACACTTGAATGGATGCGTGGCTTACTATGTATGTTCTCAACAACAAAAGTGAACTCCTGAAAAAAAAAGTCTTGGGCTCTTTGATGATTTAAAACACATAAACGTCAATCCTATGGTAGGAAGCCCTAACAGAGTGGCAACTGTTAGTGATTGATAGTGGCCAGTTTGGGTCAGCGTAGGAGGAGCATATTCTTGTTTTTCAATCATTTTATTAGGGGCTCATATGACTCTTATCACAATCCATCCATACATCAATTGTGTAAAGCGCATTTGTACATTCATTGCTCTCATCATTCTCAAAACATTTGCTCTCCACTTATGCCCTCGGCATCAGGTCCTCATTTTTCCCCTCCCTCCCCGCTCCCTCATGAGCCCTTGATAATTTATAAATTATTATTTT